TTTTTCATTTGCCACAATCACCAGATTGCCAAGCCTATCCTGTAGGAGCCCCACATTACCCGGTGCCTTCTTCTTACTTCCTATGCATTTGAAAAAGGACTTTTTATAATCCTTAATTCTGGTCGCTAATCCTAGCTCCATCTCTGCCTTGGCCTTCCTAACAGCCTCCCTGCAGTCCTGAGCAACAGAGGTGTAATCTTCCTTGGTGATAGCCCCTTGCTTCCACTGTTTCTACGCCTCCTTTTTGACCCTCAGGCATCCCTGGATGCCTTTGCCGAGCCATAGGGGCCTCTTAGCACTTCTGCACCCCTTGGTGCGCATTGGGACTGTCTCCCTTTGAGCTCAGAGGATCATTTCCTTGAGGAACAGCCACCCATCTTGGACTCCCATCTCATTGAAGCTCCGAGACCCCAATGCCTCTCCTATTAACCTTCTTAGTTTACAGAAGTCGGCCCTCCTGAAGTCAAGGACCTTTGCCTTGCTGCTTGCTTTCACCACCCTGTGCTGGACAGTAAATTCCAGCAGGCGATGATCACTGTTGTAAGGTGGTAGAGTACCCACAGACCCCTCACCAGGTCATAGCGTGTAGCAAGGACCAAGCCCAGCAAGGCGTTTCCCTTGGCGGGATTATGCACCTCGGTTAGGTGGAGGTCCTGTATCCCGGCTAGGAACCTACGTGAGTTGTCAAACCTGGCTGACTGCTCCTCCCAGTAGATGTCTGGGTTTCTAGGTCACCCATGACAAACACATCACTTGACTATACAGCCTCCGTGAGCTGACCTGAGAATTCCAGGTCCAGCTTGTCCCACCAGTGAAGCGGTCTGTAGTACACACACACACACACACACACATGTATATACATACACATATATATGTATGTGTATGTATGTATGTATGTATATATGGGGGGGTGTATAGATAGATGTGTATGTGTGTGTAAATACATGTGTGTATATGTACACATACATATATACCCCCCCCACACACACACATATAAACCCACACACCCACATACATACACACACACATACATATAAACCCACACATATATACCCACACGTACATATATACCCACACAAAAACGTACACATACACATACATACACATACGTATGTTGACATACATGTACGTATGCGTACACACACCTGTACGTACACTTACGTACACGTACCTATACGTGCACCTATTTACACCTACATATACACACAAGTATGTACATGTATGTACATGCACCTAAATGCGCACGTCCTCACGTCCATACACGTTCACGTCCGCACAAATCAAGGTACACGTACACAAATATGCATACATGTATGCATACATACATGTACACACACGCGCATGGTTACTGTGTGCGTGTGCGCGCATGTGGTTACTGTGTGCGTGTGCGCACACGCGGTTACTGTGTGCGTGCATACATTTACTTTGTGTGTCTAGACACAGTTACTGTCTAGACACAGTTACTGTGTGTACAGTTACTTTGTGTGCGAGTAGTTACTTTGTGTGTACAGTTACTGTGTGTGTACACACACACAGTTACTGTGTGTGTAGTTACTGTGTGTGTACACACAGTTACTTTGTGTGTACACATACACATGCCCCAGTCCCTGGATCTGGGCCCTGTGGTTTTCTTTAGGGTGTGCTTCCCTAGCCTTTCCCCTCCCTGAGTTACTCACAAGGTATCGGGGCCTGAGGCTTTTCACCTTTCACGGGGGGGCAAAGGTGTGGCATTTCGTAGAGACTGTCCCTCCACAAGCAGGCCCACCACACCATCTAACCCCCGGAGGGTGTCATTTCAGGTCATGCCCAAGGAACAGGAACATCCTCCATCCTCATAGTTCCTACCGTGACCTCCAGGTGTTCTGGGAGCTGCAGACTGCAGGCCAAGTGGTGCTGTCTCTCCGGTTCCCTAGGTGTAACTGGTAGCTCAGCTGTTAAGGCCTGGGCTTATACTGAGGCTGCCTAGACCTCCTCCAATCCGAGGGCCCTCTTGCAGTCATGTGACCGCCTAATTGGGCCTCACCACACCTACTGGCTGCTCCATAGGCTGCTCCAACCCCTTAAACTACCAGGCACCAAAGGTGCCGTCACACACCTCCCCTGGCCAGCTGGGCTGTTTCCTGGCCAATGCACCACTGTGACAGGGGGCCGTCACAAGGCCAGTCATAGGGAATTTGGTGAAGCATACTACCAATACAATTTTTCACAGACAGTTTGGTTTGTGAACAATAGAACTCATTCTCTATTTTTTAACCCATTTTTGGGAAGAGCGTGTGGGCCATCCTTCAAGAGGATTGGTGCTGTTTTGTATTTAAGATGTTCTTCTCTGGCTTCTGCTTCTTTGTGATGGTCCTGATAGAGATCCTTTCACAGTACTGCTTTGACTACAAGGGAGTCCTGGTAAGCCAAGGTCTGATCCTACTTGGCACTCAGTATTCCTACAACATCTATGGCAACTGGGGTGCTAAGCTTATCTCAAGAGGCACTTAGCAGTTCACAGAACTGAGACCCTGGGGAGAAGCAACAAGCCAACTTTGAACTGATGTACACAGTTGGTTGTCATGTCTGTTTTAAGAGATCACAGTTAAGAGGCAAAAAAAGAGAGATGGCATTTTTCCCCAAGTCTTCAGCTGATTTGCAGGTGGCTTCTAAACTGTCTCTTATTTCTGTTTGATTTTGATGGTAATAAAAAAGGAACATGAACAGAAGACTGAATTCCCTGCATAATATGTCGGGGGAGGGTAGAGAACATAACTTATGTATTCACGTCTGAAACAGACAAGACAAATTACTTCTAGTTCACTTCTCTATTACACACTGCCATTGTTATGTCACATCAGTAACATAAGGGATTCCTACCCATTTTTCTGGTTTAGAAACAGTAATGTGTGCTAGTGCCACTGACGATTTGCGCCAATTACTTCCCTGGGAAAGAG